CTTTATCCTGAAAAACTTTCACACGATATTTTTAAAAGCATTTTTGTCTCATGTGAATTTAACCCTATATTGAGAAAGTGGTGTTAATATTTTAATAATGTTAATAATAAAAATTATTTTATTTTTACATACGAATTTTACAAAACTTAGAACATATTTAAAAATTCAAAGTATCCATTTGTCCATGATCAGAAAAATTGTATGAATATTTTAAAGAATTTTCGTCTATTTTTTCATCTTTCTGCACACGTTTCTTGTTTTCTCTCTTAATATCACACACACACTACTTTATCTCCTGTATAGGGATGACCTATTGGTTGGTTGGTTGGTCAGCAGTCATACCCCTTTCCTTCTTGTCTGTTGAAAGGGGCCAAATTACATTAGTTAACGGGCAAAAGAGCAGGGGCTGGCCACAAGCCAGGCCCAGAGGTGAATTTTGATTGGACTAAACCAAACAAGGAATTCTGCCCACCTGGCTGGTGACGACTGGCTTAGGCCCCAGCGTGACATGCAGTGCTGACCACTGAGGAGTGAGAGGGGGCTCTGCTTGCCGGTGGGGGTTTACTCCTTGATGAAGTGTGGCCGTAAGTGGTCTCCACTGTGATGTCTGGACTTCAGGAGCCTCCAGTGACCTTGCGGGGACAAGCTTGAGTCCTGGATTCCCGATGATGCTCCTGAGCAGCTCAAAGTCCTTATCCCCAGACTCTAGTCACACAGGACAGTGGTGGTCCTCTGTGGGGCGTGGCCAGTTGAGCTCCTGGTCCTTGCACAGCCAGAGAGAGAGAGCAGCCCAGTGACACACCGGGCCCTGCTCTGAGGGTGACATTTTGCTGTGTTCCTAGAGTTCTTCTTGAGTTGTTGTTGCAGACCATTCCAACAAGCTAATATTCCATGATTTCTTTTGTTGGTCCCATATTGTCAAATAATGATAATGATAACAAACTTCCTCACTTGAATTTTGACATTAATAGAAATGCCAATAATTACAGTAATAATAGTTAAATATTTAATTTGTTCCTTCCTCAGTTACACCAGAAACTGAGCCAAGTACATTACTCATGTCATCTCATTTAATCTTCAGAAAAACGAGTGTTCTGCTGTTATCCCCATTTTACAGTTGAAAAACCGACAGATCAGAAAGGTAGTGTAACCCATCCAAGGTCACATGGCTAGAGGTGGCAAAGTCTCCTCAAAGACTATGCTCTTACATTATATATGTATATATACACACCTGTAAGTATGTATACATTATAAAATATTAGTCTGCCATATTGAAGAGAGTTCCTTATGTTAAGAAAGCATCCTTCCATTTTTACTTTAGTGCTTCTAGCCCCTTTGTCTTGTGCCACTTCCTATTTTCTCCTTTTCCTTTGTAACATTACACAGAGATTTGTCCACTACTTGTATATTTTGTATGCAGAACCAGTTGTCAAGGTTATTTATTTCATTTTCATTCTGCCTTACATATTTGTTTATTTCTATCTTTGTTCTTTTATTTAGGGATTTTTTTACTCAGCAATATTTTGTCAGCATTTCACATTAATAAATAGGGCTTACTGTTACAATTTTAGTGGCTGCCCGTGTTGTCTAAGTGTGATGTATATAAGTTGCACAGCTTACTGGTTCCCTCTCCCAAACTCAATCCTGGATAAGCTAAGGAAGAGGGATGGAAGCAACAACCAAGGAGTAAACATGAGGAAACGTGTTGAGAACCTTCTGGGAGGCAGAACCTGTGTGGCCCCAGAGCCTGGAGCCAGGGCTGCTGTCTCTAAACAGGAAAGACAGAAGAACTTCCAGAGTTCATGCCAACTGCTCATTATGGATGCAGTCTCAGGCCTCAGTTATGATCTCTAGTAGCCAGAATTAATACAAGAACACAGGGCTCATCATTTTCTGTTGCTACAGAAAGGAATTGGTGATGTTTAATTTTCCCAACAGTATGGAACTAGCATAGAATGAGAAAAATTGGCCAAAGGGAGAGAGCTTCTGTTTTCTTACCTGCAGAGATGGGACCACCAAGCCTGGCCTGACAGATCACTGTGCCAGTTCCCAGAGAAAGCCCTCACAATGAGCAGCTCCACACTTTCCTTGCACTGCCCTTCCTTCTTCACGAAGCACCACATTTTCCCATCAACTAGAAGGTATCTCTCTGGACTCTGAACTCCAAAGAGTGAGTCAGACACAGCTGCTGCCCCAGAGGAGTTGACAAAGCAACACATGATAAGAGCTGCAGCCTGAAGAATAAATAAAATGTGTCATGTGTCCCCAGATTGAGAAGGGGTGAAGGGAGAGTCTGGCTGGGATCAGAGATAGTGGAGATGTGCATGTGTGTAATAGAGGGAGTGCCTTGAGAAGCAAACACACCACAAAATGTTTATTTTTAAATAATAAAGAAATGGTAAAGGAAACGCAGGAAAGGAAACATTTACAAAATCCAAGTCACTAAAGTGCTTTCAATCAAAAATTGTAAAAGACCAAAAGCCTGGTCTGACCTAAAAACACTGTTTCCAGCTATCCAACAATTGTTTAAATGTGATCCCATGCTATTTTTGAAGGAAATGCAGAAACGCCCAGAGTATGGCTTTCTTTGAGTTCCAATATAAATAGCCTATCAAGTGACACTCAGGAAAACGTAAATTACCCCGTAACAAGAAAATTGAAATATCCAAGGCCAAGTTCAAGGTAAAGACAATATAATTCATTCATGTGTCTGTATGGAGTCTTCACTATAATGATATCAGATTCTTCTGGAGATTAAAGAATTTTATATTTCCTAATTGAGAATGAGGACATCAGACCTAACCTGTTCATCTGTATAGCACATTGAACCACACATCTCAAATGATGCCCAGCAGTGAAATCATTTTTGAACTTCGGGTCCTCCCTGCTCAAGCTACAAAAGAGAATCAAAAGTTTTGCACCAAATTAGCTGGTTAAAGTGCCATTAAGGAACCGTTTCCATTCTAGAATGAAATAGAATTTTCCCTAGGTCACTCATCTGTCCTCTTAAAGCAAGTGGCATTGCATTTTATCTTGACAGTGTCAGAAGAAAATCAAACTGAGAGTACATGTCTTGGACCATTTTTATCTTTTGAAAAATGCCAGTGAGGAATATGCACATTTTCAGCCTTTGACGGTGGGACCTGTGGGTCTCATATGGCTCCCACTTTCCCTGGCTGGGGCCCCTCCAGTGCCATGGAGTTGGAGCCTCCTTGAGCACCAGCCCCACGGTGCACTTTCTTGGTCTCCTGCCGGGCAGAGCTGGAGAGGTCGATAGCCACATCTTCCAAGCCATGCTCAGGGCTCACTTTATCCGAGCCTCTCTGTGGTCCTGACTCACTCTGGCTAGAACCTTCTTTGAAGTGGTCAGAGCCCCAGAGTCCTGCCAACTTATCTTCACTTCCTGGCTTCCTTATCATCCCCATGGATTTTTTATGCATCCCTTGCAAAAAAAAAAAAGGAAAAAATAAAAATATAAATTTAAATTCAGCAATGAAGTAAATGTCCTTCTTATTGTTCTCTAAATCCCACCAGAATTGTCCTTGTCAGTGCCTATCTCTGGGGCCTACAGGAAAGGCAGGTAGGTAACTCCCACCTTAGGGGTTTAAAGCAGGTGTCTGACCCCGGGTCACATCCAGCAAAGGTGGGATGACAGTGATTGGCATTGGGCCCACTTTCCCCAAGGCTGCGGTCTGGTGGATGCCAGTAAGCCACCTCCCCACCTGCTTGTGTAATTTCAGATGAGCCGGCTTGGGTCACTGCCCACAATGCTCCCTCTATTGTTTCAGTCCTTGAGAGCAAAGTCGAGACATATCTATGATTGGAACCTCCAGTGCCCAGCATAGGGCAGCTTGGCAGCTGTCCAAAAACTGTTCGGTGAGCAAAAAACTTCCTCCATCTAAACCTAAAATGCCACCATGATCCTCCTAACTAGTCCCCCCATGCCCGGAGGTACTCATCTGTGACTCATTCCCACAATCTGCGATCCCTGCCTGCTGGTTTCTGGCAACAGCAAACAGGGCAACAAGGGTGGAGCATCCTGAGAGTGCCCAACAGCGAAGTTTGGACCTCAGCAGCGGAGACTGTTGAAGCACCAAAAATCCAAGGGACAGAAAAGCCACTCGGCAGGTTGTTCATGACAGAACCAAGTCCGGGGCCAGCTCTCCTGACTCAGATGGAGGGGCTCACTGTCTCTAGGGGTCGCTGCTCAGCACCGCCCTGTTTCCTATTACCAAGTGCCCTAAATTGTACGGTTTCTAAAAATTCTAACAGCATTCAACACTTGGGAAACATATTTCACATAATGCAGTGATGTCATTTCACCCTTAAATCCCAAATTATTTAGCATGCATAGCCCGGTGAGACTTCCACACAGCCTAGACAATCTCTGTGAAAAATGAGGCAACCGTTCAGATGCTGCAAGCTTTGTTATTAATTAAAAATAATAAGAACGGTTCTGGACCTGCATCTCAGTAAACTGACGTTGCTTTGCTTTGGAAATGGCTGCCTCGGTGGGGACCCCCGGGGATTCCCCCACCTCCTACAACACCTCAAGCAGTGCGCTCCCGAGGACCCTTCCTTACCCAGGAGCCAGGGCGCGCAGGAGCCCAGCAGGCCACCCTCGGCGGAGTTGAGCACGGAGTCGGGCAGCGGGATGCAGTGGCGCACCATCGCCCCGTACAGCCCGTACTCGGCCATCACGCTGCTGCCGCCCCAGCGCTTCTCCCGCTTCCGCCACTTGGCCCTGCGGTTTTGAAACCAGACCTGATTGGAGGCAGGAGAAGCAGAGAGCACACAGAAGAGACAGTGAAGAGAGGCGCCTGGAGGAGCCGAGGCGGCGTCCCTGGGCTCGGAGCTTCTCTCCCGAGCATGATCCCATGCTATTTCTGAAGGAAATAGCTCCCGAGGGCCAACCAGCCGCCCCCAGGGAGCGCGCCCAGGAGCCCCCAGCGGCGCCCATGTGCGGTCCGGACTCACGGACATTCAGCGCGGTAGGGACACGCGTGACCAAGTTCACTGAAGTTTCCATAGAGTCAGGAATGAAAAAAACTAAATAATCAAACTCCCTTTTCCCACATTGTGTGACGAGGTAGACTACAGTGTTTCCTGCTTTTTCTCATTGATTGGAAAGAGTTCACTGGGGCAATGGCTCCTTCCAAGCTTAGACTCTTGGGATGCTGGTGATATTTCTCATTAAAAACATTATGTTAATAACAGACTATTATGAACTCCGGTGTAGCTGTTAAAAAATAGTTAGTGACATATCTTCTGACAAAACCAAGAGCAAAATTCTGTGTATGCATGTCAGCGTGTATACATATGCAGGTAGATGTGTGTATGCACATACATATTCAGGGGCAGATAATATACTCCACAAAGTGGAGAAAGGTCTTCTCAGGCATTTATGTTGATTTCTTTCAGGGTTTGAGATGGAGAGGCAGTATTTTTTTTTTCATTGACATATCTTTATATAGTTTCTAGTTGCAGCACACACTATCGTGTGATTTGAAAGAATGATTTGATACTATATAATAATAAAATGAAAAAAGGCATGAGGGTCACAGGGACATGCTCTTGTGGTGCCTTCAGCTAAGGGAGTTTCTGTGCAAAGGGAGAGTGTTGGCTGTAGAGAAGGGACTGCTGATTGGCTCACTGAATGTGGGAATGACACGTTCTCTGCGGTGTCTTTGGAAAGGAGAAAAGGGACCCCAGACACCTGTATCCGGTCTTCAGGGAGCTCAGTTTTCACAGCCAGCATTTCTCGGGCATACACATCAGGGTAGTGGGCCTCGCTGAACGCCTTCTCCAGCTCTTCCAGCTGGTGAGCAGTGAAAACTGTCCTGCAAGGACCCCAAAACACACATGTGGGCACGTGTCCCCTGGGGACAGCAGCCTCCCTGGCCTTAAGGACCACCCTGCCTACTTCCCCTGCTGTTCACACCCTAGAAGCCACCTCATGATAATGGAACACCCCACCTCTGAATGATTAGCTGATGTAAAGTCCAGAAATTTCATCCAAACAAAAACAGTTCTTTAGCTCTTTCTTAATGAATTCCATCAGCTCATTCTGACAAAATCCATTTGACAGACCCACAAAATTGTCTTTAAAATACTGCCAAAAAAAAAATGCTAGCAAGATTGTAGCATTTTCCCAGCCTCCTAGGAACAGCAGAATTATCTTCCCAAATGGCTTCTGTGCCCTTCCTACTGCCAACCAGGAGACCCCTGGGCCTGCCATCACACAGGGTCATAAACTCTCAGATGCAGGTGCCATACACCTTGGGCTGTGTCCCGAGGAAAGGCAGGCAGAGGGGACTGCCTGGCCCTATACCTGTGCCGCCGCTTCTTCCTCTTGCCCAGGGTGGGGGATGCCTTTAGGTCATTCCTGTCTTCAGACGGGCTGTCCTCATCTGCTGGCACAAAAAGAAGAAGAGGACTTTAAAGGTGATCATATTCTGCCCTCTATTTCCTGGATTTTAATGTGAGGATTGAAGTTATGAACCTCTTGGGTATTTGAGTAGTTAACAATATGAACTAGCATTTTTAGTGCCTACTAGATCCCAGGTTCTGTGCTTAACACTGTCCATACATTATCTCAAGTATTCTTAATATAATAGTAAAACACCAAAATGACTGCTATAATTATCATCCTGTTTTTACAGATGAGGAAACTGAGGCACAGAATGGTTAAGTAATTTGCCCAAGATCACACAGTTAGTAAATGGTGAAGTTGAGAATTCAAATCCCAGATTATCTGAAGTCAAAACTACTTGGTTACTGTTTGCACCTTCTGTCCCCACACTGCTTCCAAACACACCCACCCCTCTGCCCCCAGCCTCATCATCTTAACCTCTACACCAACATTTCCCAAAGGAAGTCTGGGGCTTGTGACATCAGAGTGCTTGTCAGAACTGCACCCCTTCCCTGATGCACCAAATCAGAATCTCTGGAGGTGGGGTCTAGGAGGCTCATTCTTGACAAGTGTGCTCAGATGATTTGTAGTTGCCCTTGAAAATTCAAGAACCATTCCACTGTGCTTTATCTTTTTATACCCATTACATCAAAAAGTCCAGATGGAAAAGAAGGTTAGAACTATTGTGAGATTCATTGCTAGAAAGCATAATTGCCTCAAAATATTTTTAAAATGAATAAAGGCAAAAATAACTAAATAATACTAGTTTTACTCATCCATCAGTTAGTTCACCAGAAACCTGACTTGGATGAAAACATTCTGTATTGGACTGTCCAACCTATGAGACATGAGACACATAAGGTTATCGAGCACAAGAAATGTGGCCAGTCAGATCAAGACATGCTGTAAACATAAATCACTCAGTGGAGTTAGAAGACTTAGTGCTCCTAAAAAGTAAAATATTTTTGTATCGATTATGTGTAAAATGATAATATTTGTGATCGTTGTTGGGTTAAAATATAGTATTTAGATTCATTTCACTTTTAATGTGACTGTGAGAAATTTCCATCAAACATGTAATCACATTGCATTTCTCTTGGACAGCTCTGCTCCAGACTTTCAGAAACGCCGCCAGAGTAGGATTTAGCTGCCTTTGGTTTTGTAAGAAGGAACCCATCCCATGAAGACAGTTTTTGCATTTTTAGTGACACTAATAGCGAGTTTCATTTTATCTTATATAGAGGCTCATGAAATAAAGTCCTTTCAGAGTGGAGCGAAAATGTGCCTGCCTGTTGATCTGACATGCTTCCTTTTAGTATCAGAGACCCAATGTATTCTTTTTGCCTTGGTTGCCTGGATGCTCAGCTCTAGGTTCTACCACGTACCTTCGCTAGTCCACCCTTTCTTGTATAATTCTTTCTTTTCTCTCCCACACCCAAAACCACTCGCTTTCTTAGCCCTTGACCTTTATAGAATTTCATTGCTTCCTTCTCTTTCCCCGCGACCCTCCAGGATTTCTTTGGGGAAATGGGTAGGCCAGGAACACATCTCTAGGCGTAACTACAATGAATCCTCGAGGTTGCTTGTTTCTCCTGCACGGGGGACTG